AGCAGGATTGAAAGAATATTGACATTTTCAACTTTAGTGTTAGAAAAGACTCCTGAGATACCATGGATAGCCAAGAAAAGAAAAGAAAACAAAAATGGATCATTGAATAAATCAATCCAGAATTCTCATTCAAGGCACAAATTACCAGCCTCAAATTCTCATTTGTTGGATATATTATGTAAAGAAATCCATAATGCTGAGAAAGGTGGAAGGAAAGAGAAGAAAAGGATGACCACCAGCAAGATGGATGGACTCAGTTACAGTGGTGATGGATGTACCGTTGGAAGACCTGAAGGACCAGGTTGGGGACAGATCCTCATGGAGAAAATCTATGTATTTTCTCTAAGAGTCGACACCGATTTGATGGCACATAACCACAATTATATATAATATATAAATTCACAAGTGTGTCCACATGTATACTTTTCTGTTGAGAGGGATAACTCTAGGTTAACAAGGTATGGAAACTGGGCCTAAACAGGATTTTTCCCTGTGTTGTATTTATAGATGTTCCATATCTACCTCTTTGGGGCAGAGGGATTATCTAAAATGCAGAGTCTCTTCCTTTTGGGTGAATGTGAGTCTTTGAAATACAGACAGGCACGGACTGTATCTATTAGAGGGGCACATCTGAAGCTACAAAACTATTTCCCTAAAACCGTAGGGTAGGCTCCCCCAAAGCCGCTCCAAAAGTTTTTAATTTTAATGTTATAGAAAGAAAAAATATATATTACAGGCATAGGGATTAATCATATCAACTATACTAAGATTAATTTAACTGTCATTAGATAGGAATCAGTCAGATCAAATTTAGTTTTTTTTACGCTCCTCCATCCACTTCTTTGTCCTCATGCTACAGTCCCACAGAGTTGGAAAAGGACAGGAACTTTCTAGGCACACACACATTTCTGTTTATTTGTCCTAGTGCTTTTAGGGAAACAATTTGTGTTTATTTCTAATTGATACAGTGGGCTTAGTTTCACAAAGCTTAGCTTCTACCTACATTTCTATACAGACCTTTTGGTAAGGAGCTTTCTACAGTTTCTGAAACCATCTCGCTCGTTCTCTCCCTCCCTGATTCGTATAGGGGTTCCTTATCACAATTGTCTGCTCATGGTTGTTAGGCAGCAACAGCCCTTTCACTTCCTGGCCTTGCTTTTAGCTTAGAGGGGAACACAAAGAGGAAAAGTACATTTTTCCTGAGCTTCCTGGGATTCCAGCGCCTTTCCCGACTTGTCCTCCCCAACTTCCAGTCTGTCCTTTCCGGACTAGTTTTTCCACCAGGCGGTCTGCTCTGCAGCTCTCTTTCAGCTCCTCCTTGTTCCTTCTGGGTCCTCAGCAGCAGATCCCTCCTCTGCCTGTTCCGGGGTGTCTGCAGGGTTTGATCAAAAAAGTCAAAATGGTGGCCACCATGGAAGCTCCACCCATTTTTTACATGCATTGTGACATGCATAGACAATGGGCAGAACGCTGATTGCGCCATGGTGGCTGCATCTTGGCTTGTCTGGCCACACCCTGCAGACACCCCTGGACTGTTCCTTCTCAGCCACTTTCTCCAATCTTCATTACATACATACGACATCAGTGATGTCCAACAAGAGGGTCCATCGCCTAACAGAGCTGCCCCTTATATATGTTTCGTTAAAAAAATGGGCTTGCTCTGAGATATTTTAATTAAGCCAGAAGCTTCTAGGTGTCTCTGTGGCAGTTTGCTTGGCGCTGGCCGAAGCGAAAGAAAAACACGTTAACCTTGAGATTATCGAGTAATCCCCACAGCCATCAGGTTGTCTCATCCTGCCACACTGCTTACATTTTGGGCCACCCGCCAATCTTTATATCCCCTCATTCTGCACCTATATTAAAAGCAGCAGTGTTTATTTTCATAGTAAGTGATGTAGAGGATACAGCCACACGCATACCACGAAGAGTCACTTTGTGTGAGATGGGCGGCTATATATATATACGAATACCCACACAGCACAAAGGGGTGTGTGTGGTTCCTCTCCCACTGTCTCTGCAAACCTGCTTCACAAATAATGAGAGGACAGGTTTTTACCTTGGAAGATGTAGATTTGTTAGCCACTTTTCCGTGCAAAAGAATAAACACATCAAATGGCGTATGGATGTGTGGAAGCAAGGATGATTTTCAAGAAGAGAAAGGTACGGGGTGCTTGAGTAAAGTGTGTTGGTATAAACCAGATTTAGCAAACATTTGCTTTTATAGTATTTTTCATGTCTCCCTGTTTTCTTCGGCTTCCTATTTCATACTCCATTTCTGCCCTTTGCTGAACCTTCCTTACTCCGTCTTGGGGACAGGTATGCGTGTAAATAACTCAGAACTGGGCCCAGGACAGTAAAACCCACAAGTCTAAAAAGCAAGCGGAAAGGGAGGGAAAGATGGAAAGGGAGGGGAAAGAAGACCAAGCAGAATATACATACTTCCACGGGTTTAGCGTGGAATTATACTTTCATTTGTTTATTCGTCCATCCGGCTTGTACGGCCGCCCATCTCAACAAGTGACTCAACACGAATTTAATTCTTCGCGGCGTTTAGCGCGAAGGGCTCCGCGCCGCGCGAACGGCGAGTCTCCGCAGCGCTGGGACGGCGGCGAGCCTGTGGCCCTCTGCGCTTCGCCAGACTACAACTCCCAGCATCCCTCGCCCTTGGCCCCGCTGGTCTGGGAGTCGTAGTTTGGCAGACCGCGGCTCTCAGCCTCTTCCTTTCCCACCACAATTTAGGGTAGCGGAACTTCTGTTTATGGCTAGGTACGTTGCACGGTTTTCTCGGATGCGGAAAGCGCACTCCGGCGAGGGCGTTTCCTAATTCACGCTAACGTCCTCGGCAGAAA